GCAGAGTTTGTAGCAGTGGAGCGGGAAGAAGCATTAGAACATAACTTCTTCATAAATGTCTGCAGTGATTTTCTTCACTTCTGGGGCCTCTGAGCACTACTCCAATATAAACACGGACAAGTAGAAGGTAAGAACATGACCTAAGTAAGAGAGAAATCTGCTGCTCACTAACCTAACAAAGCCAGTGCTGTCAGCTGGTTTGTGTGTGTCCTATTCAAATGGCTCCTGTGTCTTGCACCAGGCTGAGGCTAATAAATATGTTAGCTAACAGAAAGTTCTCACTGACTGGCATCTACCATACTCCCTTTCCTCATTTCTTCATATCCAGACACTTACAAAAGCAAGTTTTTATTTTCCAAAGCACAGGAAAGGCATGGTTTAGACTGTAATTATCATAACCAGGCTGCACGCTTCAGCTTCAAACTATTCCTTCAGCTCTGAAAATTCAGCTTCAGGGATAAACCTCCATGATAGTAATTTTGGAGCTGTGCCTGAGACACATGCGACCTGGCATCTGTGTTCCTGAGAGCCATATGTGTCTGTTGAAAACCAACTGTGTTTAAAAGAAGACAGGCAAACTGGTAACCCCTACAAAGAAAAGACAGAGGAGTAAGGACACCAGCCACAACCAGCCACAATCTGATGATTTAATAGCACCTAGCAATCAGGCTACTAGATTGCACTTAATAGTATTTCATCAAGATGGATTGCGCACTGTAAAAAAAAAAAACAACAACAAAAAAAAAGCAATGGAAACTGTCCTTTGTGGTCTCATTTTTACTTCCATTGGTTCCACTGGGATTAGTGTTCTTCATGAATCATAATGGACACTGATAGCTTGGCCAATGCTCAGACAGCACATCAGGGAAGGGAACGGCATTCCGTAACGTAACATCCTGTTTGGAGGCTTAAGAGGCAAAAATCCAGCAGCAATCACTTCCAAGGGTAGTAACTCAGTTCTTATTGCCTTCATAATGACTCCACAGTTATTCAGTCGATGAAAATGTAGCCTGATATTGAGCATCAAGAAGATAAATTAACAGTAGAGTGAGTCTTACTCACACATCCACACCCCACTTCAGCAGAGGACTGCAAAAACACATTGTGTACTCTTAAAGTATGTTGCCCCCCTCTGTAAGGTGCTGAGATGGCTGACAAGGAGGCAGGAGCAAACCCTTTCTTTACTAAATACCATGTGAAGAAAAAAAAAGCTATTAAAATTTAGTAAGCAAATTTTCCATTTGAATTAATGAATAGTTCATGTTATAAAGTTCATGTTACCCATCACTTTGGCTGAGAGTGGAAACACAACAAAGTTATTTTATGAGCTTCAGATTTGGCAATAACAACATGCATGAAGTGCCAAATGCCAGGAGGTTATGGCATTAATTTTTGTATAAGACCTACTTTTCCAGACAAAACAACTATACTCTAATTAAGTAAAAGCAAACAAACAAACAAACCCACCAAAATTGACATAAACCATACCAGTCAAACCCAAGCAAATTTAATCTTGTTTGATGTAAGCTTCCTTCCTGCCTCTATTCCCAGCTCCAGGCAGTTCTCTTCTGTATCTCAAGTCACGCTGGAAATAAATAACAAAGCAAACTCTTGGCTGAGGACCCCAAATGTCTTATGGTCAATGAATATATCCCCCAAAGACTTGCCTTACATCTAAAATGGAATACAAAGGATTCTACAACTATACAGAGGATTCTACAACTATAGCAGCTAAAAAGAAAAAATCCATCCAAAATAAATCAGGGTATTATTATCAAGCTGGATATAAGACAATGAACAAAAGCTAATGAACAGAAGACTCACTGTGTCATGTTAAAATTAGACTGCATTGACATTTGCACTGTCAGGGGTTTGTGGAAGATGTATTATTGTTGTAAGCATCATATATATCTTTATCAATTTGATAATTAGAGCTAATTCAGTACATTTCTAGTTCAATGGGTAAGAGACAGGATAATGTCATAGAGGAAAAAATGATGGAGTCTGTATTAAGAGTGACAATTAGTGCAAATTGTAACACGGAAAAATAAAAATGTGAACAGCAAGTCTTCTGAAGTTCCTGAAAGAAACAGCAGGAACAGAAGGGCCAGCATTACCTCTGTCCCTGTCCCCCAACACAGGTGCTCAGTCCTGCAGCCAACCCCCTCAGTGACCTGTACAGCCAAAACCTGTACAGCCTTGTTGGCAATAGGAGATGCAGCAAAGTGCCAGGACAGGAAAAGAGATGGGAACACAGAGGAGGGAACGGAAGGAGAGGGTGGGAGAAGTTGGTGTTTAGATGATCTGAAACTGACATGGAATCACACCTTAAACTGCCTAAAATAAGCAGGGTCATTCTGAGAGAAATAAGGAATGATCATACAATCCCAGCAGGCTTGAGAACATCGCATCCTCTGTCTGAAATTGGGATGAGGAGGCAGGACAGGCTGTGGAAGACAGAAAGCTTCTGCCAAGTTGCACCTGGATAGAGTTTCCACCAGTGCATGTAGCACAGGTCTCACATGCCTCATCACGGCACCCGAAACTGCGTATAGCAGAGTGATTCTGCCCAGATGTAATGAAGAAACTCCAGGTTACAGTCAAGAAATTCAGCCAAATACAAGAGAGAAGGGAGAAAAGTAGTGGAACAATTGCCCCTGTATCACTGTATGAAATTACACACTGTAAATGAGCAGTAAAATCTGGCAAAAAAAAAAAAAAAAAATACAGGACGGGAAAACAAATTTTTTTTCTTCCCTCTGCTGGTTACAGAGAAGACTCAGACATTATGCCACCAAAACATGGGCATTTCTTGAACTATCTGGGTAGTTTGATTTCAATCAACTATGTGTTTGCAAAATGTGTGGTTTGATCCATATGCAGAAATATTTCACTGAGCTAGGAACAAATGACAAATCATAACTCAGGTCTGGTGTAACTCCTTCAGAAATTCGTTTTGGAGCTCCCATTACCATAACAATGCTAATAAACTGGAAATTGCACAGATGAAAATAAATAAATTTGGTTGCTGGCTTAAATTATTATTTAGAAGTCTCAAAGCCCCTGAAGTGTACATGCACTCAGAGAATCACCAAATACATGACGCTGAATTCAAAGATGAGTGAAGTGCTAATTAGGAAAGAGATTGTTTATGAAAGTTTTCTGAAAAACAGGGTATTTTAGACCACGGAATTACCTCACAGGAAAGAAGCAGAACTGCAAAGCCTGGCAGCTGCTGAGGGCAAAGTGACAGCCTGGTGTAAGGGCAGACTCTCTGAGGTAACAGATCCACGCACAACTGTTCCTGTGCTCGATGAAAGGCAGGTTAACATGAGAACGGGACAGCTGCTCAACGAACATTAAATGTGACAGGAACAAGACCCTACAACAGCAGCTCTCATTTTCTACACGACCTCTAATACTGCAATTGCCTGATCCATTCAGCTTGGTTTCACATATGCCTCCTTGTCCTCATGCCACTTCACTCTTACAATTATAACCTCTTCTATAAAATCAGGAATACATCTGCAGCTTTCCTCAAGTACAACTGACTATAGCATTCCTTGAAACGCCAGAAAATTGGCTTTCCTTTCAGACCACGCACATTTTTACACAAAAGCATTTCCAACCCGTTTCTGCTGCCATAGCCGTTTCGTAGCCAGAAGAATGGGTACTTATTTAAAGTGTCAACAATAGAAAGTAATAAAAGCGTGACACATCCCGAGGCGCTGTGAGCTGCTCCTGAGGGAGAGCTGCTTTGGGAGCACGACCCTTTCCCGGGTTCTCTCGGTCACTGTCACACCATTATCGGATCAGCTCGGCCAGGGCACTGCTGTTCATTTAGTGCTGGGGGGTGGCGGTCAGCAGCGACGATGTCGCTTTAGGTGTTTGAACATTGTTTTTACAATAAGTGGTAAACTTCGGCTTGCACAGACACCGCTCTGTTTCTTTCAACTAATGTGTTTTCAGCCCATCTCCATTAGAATTTTAACGCCAAACCAATCCACAACAAAACCAAAACCGGCCAACCAACCAAACCCCCAGACTGAGCTGTTTCAGCGCGCAAAGCCTCTGCAGACACACACGAATGATAATTTTATAACCAAGCATTAATGAAACACAACGCCGCTAAATCCCTGTCGGCGGCTGCTCCTGCCAATCTAACTGCAGCTCTCAATCAAGGTGACTTTAGGGAAAAACCTCCCCTTGCAGAGACAATCCCCTCACGGGGTCGGTCCCCTCAGAAGGACGATCCCCTCACGGGGTCGGTCCCTTCAGGACGATCCCCACACAGACTCGGTCCCCTCAGAAGGACGATCCCCACACAGACTCGGTCCCCTCAGAAGGACGATCCCCACACAGACTCGGTCCCCTCAGAAGGACGATCCCCACACAGACTCGGTCCCCTCAGAAGGACGATCCCCACACACGCAGCCCCGCCGCTCCCGCCCGGCGCGCGCCCCCTCAGCCTCCGCCCCTCTCCCTCCCCGCCCCCCGGGCGCGCACGTGCTGGAAGCAAACACCGCGCGGCGCATGCGCCGCTCGGCCGCCCCTCCTTTACCCCCCCGGCTCGGGGCTGGCGGAGCCGGGGGAGGAGCCTCAGTCTCCGGGCGCCTGATTGACTGATGTCATTTCCCCGGCTCCGTGCCGCGCCCGCCCATTGGCTGCTCTCGGACCGCTATCTGCACCGCGCCACCTGGTTGGCTGTTGCCGCGCCGGCCGTTGCCTTATCGCAATTCGGGCCACGCGGATTAGGGCACCTAAACCCCGCCTCTTGCTCCAGCCCCTCCTGCCGCCAACACCAGCTCCGCCTTCCCCGCCTTTTCCTGCCTCTCATTGGTCCAGAACGGCTTCGCTCCTCCCTCCAGCCCGCGCGCTGAGCTCTCCGATTGGGTGAGGCCGAGCTCTCCCCAGTCCCTCCTCCACGGCCGCTGATAAAGTTTTGTCCGGAGGCGCTCGGGCCACGCCCCCTCTATCCCGGCCCCGCCTCTCCGCGGTCCCGGCCCCGCCCCTGACCTGCCCGAGGGGGGCGGCCGTTGAGGCGCGCGCGCGCTCGCGGCGGCGGCACCTCCCGTCCCCTCCCGACCCTTCCCTCAGTCCCGCTCGGCGGCCGCGGCGGCAACATCGGTGGTGCTGGTGTGGGCAGAGGTGCCTCCTTCTTCTCCGCCTCAGCTCCGCTATCCGCCGGGCACGGTGAGCACAGCCGCGCGGAGCCGGGCTCTCCTCCCGAGCCGCCCGCTCCGCGACGGGGGAGCCGGGGCGGTGCTGGGGCCGGCGGGGAGGCGAGGCGGGATGTTGGGAGGCTGCGGGGGCTGCGGGGCTCTGCCCCCGCCCCGGCACCGCGGAGCCGCTGCGGGCGCGGCCGCCGCTCGTCGCGGCTGGCGCTGGTCACGCTTGTCACCCGGGACCAGGCTGGGATTTCGCATCGTATTTCATGTCTGTCGTATTGCCCGGGAAACTTCTCCAGCCCGATACAACTTCGAGCAAAAAGGCAAAAGAGAAAAAGCTGGAGCCTTTTCTTTTAATCTTACGGCTGCTGAAAAACACAGCCCGGCAAGTTGCTCCTAAAATATAATTGCAACATCACTCCTTTAGAGGAAGCGAGAGCTGGAACATAGGACCGCAGGGAAAGCGCTTAATCTCTCCTTTTGTGTATCGTGGGAAAAGACTGGGCTTTTCTATGCCGTAGGACTCTCCGCTGGGAGGCTTGATGTCTTTTAAAGTATTCCGAGGCTTTTCAGAAAGATTTTAAGTGCAAATTGCTCCTCTAAGGCTCTGATCCGGTGAATTGGAAATGAGGTTGGGTGTTGGAAGAGTCTGCTGTGCTGTTTTTCTGTCATTTTGGGTAGAAAACGCAAATGAAACCATGAGAGTGCTGGACGTGGCTAGTCTGAAATTGGGGAATATTCACTCCCCAGCCCATGGTTTAAACACCCCTTTCTGAAACTTGTGTGCGCTTTCTTCTGCCTTTGGCTTGACTGACCTTGCTCAGCAGAATCCTTTGTATCATTGCTCCTTCCGAATCTTGTGTAACATCTGCCAGCGCTATAGAACTATATAATGTAGTTAGGGTTTTGGATGTCCGTCTTGCTTCCTGCTTGATTTTTCTCAGACCTTTTCGAAACTCGGAAACTGAGATTAATGCTTTTCTTTTTTCCCCTCCTTCCAATTCAACAGATGCAGTTTATGTTGCTTTTCAGTCGCCAGGGGAAACTGAGACTCCAGAAGTGGTATGTCCCATTATCTGACAAAGAAAAGAAGAAAATCACAAGGGAACTTGTTCAAACAGTATTAGCCCGCAAACCGAAAATGTGCAGCTTCCTGGAGTGGAGAGACCTGAAGATTGTCTACAAAAGGTGGTTCTGTCTCACTAACCTTGTAATTGCCATACATTACAAACCGTGTATTAAGTAGCAAGAAAATAATGAAGGTCGTTTTTGTTTTGTTGTTTTGTTTTTTTTTTTTTTTTCTTCCCTCTGCTGGTTACAGAGAAGACTGACTTTTCCCTTGCATCTAATTTGATAACCAAGCAGGAGTCATTCATGTGTGGAAAATCACTCGTGCATTTAGAAATGTACTGAAGAAATGAGCTTTCCTCCTATTTTTATAAGGAGTGGCAGTTCTTCTTGGTGGTCTGTTTAGGTTCATGCAGTACGTACATGCTTCATATTTGTACACATTCCAGATTTAATAAGTGATAAAAATTTCATAAATATTTGCCTCAAGAAGTGGCTTCATAGATCACCTGAAAATATAACTTGCTTTTAAACGCTTCTAGAAATAAGGAAATAGTTTTTCATAGTACTTGGGTTGGGTGTTGGTTTTTTTTTCTTTTTTTTTTTTTCCCTGTATGTACAAAAAACAATTTTTCATTATTGAAAAAATCATGGCTAGCTTTCTTTTGGTAGATGTACTGTATAATTTTCTTCATGATAATTTCATTTTTCAGTTGTTCCCTAACCTTTGTAGGAGTATTTGGCAGGCATTTTTTAGCTTTGTGCTGCTCTTTAGAATGTATCAGAGTGTAATGGTGTGACCATAATTCTTCTTCAGAAATAACAGTAATCCTCCTCCTGATGTGGTATGCTGCATCTCTTCCAGCTAAAGGTGGTGCTACAAAGCCTTGAGTTCTCTCTTCCCTAGTTAGTTGTAAACCTGAGATGTTTATGCATTCCTGTTTTCCCATGGAGATGGTAGATAGTTTGTGCCCCACAGTAAATATTGTTGCATTCCCTGTAGATATGACAGAAGGGACTGGACCAGAAATGAGTTTGTAACTCTTCTCCAGGATAACAATTGGGTAGTATAAAGTACGTTTACATGTTGTAGGTGCTGCTCTCATATATACATTGGTTTGTGTAAAGATGTGCTTGTGAGTATTGCTGGTCTGCCTAATGCATGTAGTTCTTTAGCATTAGGAGGAAAGAGAAGAACCAGTGCATGAGGCAGTGCTGATAGCATACACAGTTTCTTCTGCCTCTTGATTTCCTCACAAAACTCCTTGAACATGTATGTAGATAAGCTTGCTCCAACACTTGCTCCATTTCCTTCCATATTAATGCCTGCATGTACCTTTTCAGCTGGGCATTCATGGGACTAAGTCAGAAAAATGAGGCATTAGGAGACCAGTCTGTTTCCTTCCTTACCCAGTCTTGAACAGCAGTAGTTGTTCTGGGGAGGATTCCACACAGCTGCTTTCCCTCCCTGTTTGCTGTTAATAACTACTTGCCATGTCCTTTTGTGTCTAGGGAGCTGGTGGACATTTGGGTAGGAGTGTTTGAGTTACTGAACATTGTGGAGTTCTTGCATCTCACTGGTGTGTCGTGGGTCCTGTGGTCAAGGAGAATGGGGAAATTTGCTGGGAGATGTCTATGTCTGGCTAAAAATGGTCTAAGTACTGCAGTCTGTCTGCTGGACTGCTGGTGTGCACAGCTGACTGCAGTAGCTTATTTCACTCTCTGCAGACCAGTCTGGCACAGAGTGCCTATGAAACTGCTGAAGATGAGCTTGTACCAAGCTAATGAACATGTCAACTTTCTTTTTGACTGAAACATCACCAGAAGGACTAGATGTAAGAGGTGATAGTTTAAATGTCTATATCTGGTAGCACTAGCATCTCTGAGATTTGTGGGACTTGTTCCCATCATAGCATCATAGTTAAAGATGATGAGCACCAGCTAGTATGATTTCTTTGTAAAGGGTGACTTTTTGTAGCTGAGAAGGTGGTGGCTAAAAGAGAAACACACCAGAAGGAACTCTGTGGCTTGTGAAATTGCAAAAGGTGCTCCCAATTCCTCTTGAGCATCTCTAGAGGATCTCTGCTAAGATTTATTCTTGTCTGATCTATTGCTGGGAACAATCTGAACCTGCTGGTACAAATGTTTTTCAATATAACTTCTAAAAGTATGTGCCCATTGCTATTTTGCATCTTAAATTATTGACATTTAAGTGCTGTTTTTGTTTTTAGAGTGTGTTTGTTGTTCACATGTAGGAGAATTGAACCTAGATATTGCAGCTCAAATAATGATTGGCAGTATCAGAATTGTATTCAAGGGTCTCATCATACCTTTTTTTCAGGAACAAAATGAACTCAAATGCAGAAGTTGGCAAGACAGTAGCTTTAGCTTCCTTATGATACTTAACATTAAGACTGCTGGACTGTTTTGATTAGCCTCCTTAGCTCTGTAACATTTCATCTTTGTAGGATGTTTTCTGAATTTTCAAGGAAATAGATCTTAAAATTCATCTAAATGTACGTGACGTAGCTTTTATTTCCCTCTGGTTTCATGCATGTGCCATTTGTAATGGTTGGAACATAGGCTCAGGCATTGCCTTTTAAGTTTGTTTCCTTCAGCACTACAGAACACAAACAGAAAGGTGCCCAGCTTTCATCATGGTGCCTGAATTGGCTTATATGTTATTCTGTAGCTGGTTTGGAAGATAGTTTTTCAGGCTGATAGACACCAGAAGATTAAAAAGAGGATGTGAGCTTGTAACTTCAAGAAGCATGGAGATTTGAAGTGACTTGCTGGGAAAATAAAAAATTAAATATGGGAAGCCAACAACAATTACACTTTATGAAAATAGAGGGGGAGTCATCTGCACACAGCTGATTAGAAACTTAACAAACACAGCTGATGTGTTTGCTCTTCACATTTTGTCATTTAAAAAGTAACATAGTGGTTTTGGAGCATATAGGGTACAAGTTCATGCAGCTTTCCCCCTGTGGCAGAAAAGATGTGTTAAATGTTAATTTCTAATTTTGCTAAAGAAGGAACTTAGAATGTGATTTTTTTTTTCCTTGAAAGACTTCTGTTCATGATTTTAGCTTCTGGCAATATGAGTTATTTTCATTGTGTAGTATATTGCAGTCAAAGTCAGAACTTGGAGAACAACTTACATAAATTTTACTTTGTTAGTATTTGGTTAGCTGCATTCATGGGACATAGTTATTGTTGGTTAGTTATTTGGTTAAAGATTGTGGCTTTGCTTTTATGTGTCAGTTTGGAACTGTGTTTGGAATATGATATTATGAAACTTCCATAGCTTTTGCTGCTCTTGATGTGGCAGTTCTCTTTTACTTTTGCACAACATAACAAAGAGGTTATGTTAAAGACTTTCAACAGAATAAGTTTTAAAACTTACTTTCTTCCCTCCCTCCACTGAAAGAAGCAATGAAAGAGCCCACTGTGCAGGTAGTGTGTGTCTGTTAAAGTATTGTGAAGTGAAGGTACAGCCATGTGGCCAGTGGGCTGTGCCCAGCTTGGCATGATCCCTCTTTTTCCTTATATATATAACTTAGCAACCAGTTGTACCTCTTAAAAATATTACTGTGGTGTTACGTAGCTTTGTAAAACACTCTGAGTGCAATGATTATGGTGAATTAGATACTTGGGCTTGATAAATTTAATTAGATCAGGTCTTCTTTGTACAGGGTTCTAGTTTGTGTGGAGGACCTCAGTAACAAGAAGCAACAGCTTTTTCTTAGAGAATTAGCAGTATCAAATTCTTGTTCATTTTGAAGCTGCTGGGGGCTATAGCCTTGCTGAAATAAGAAACTGGAACAGTGCTTCACTTTGGTAGACTCTGTCCTGGAGCTTCAGAAGTTCATGTTTTATTAAAGAAATGCGTGAAGTTGTGGGACAAGGAAAATACTTGGCCAAGCACAGCTTATTAGTTTTCCTAATTTTCACTGGGTTACCTATCAGCAAACCACAGATTCTTGGACTCATTGAGCACTTGTTTGCCTCCTTGTTGTCATTTAGAGTTCAGTTCTGTTTGTACCAAACTTTGTAAGCTTTAAACTTCCACAATTGGGATCTACATGCAAAGTGACTTAAATGCTGACGGACTTATGGCTTGTTTGCAGGCTTATCTGGTGCTGAACTTCCAGGGATGACTTCAAGCAGGTGTTCTCCCATCTAGAAGGAGAACGCCACTGAGCTGGTAGGATTTGTGCGTTGTGCTCTACCCACAGTGACCTGATCTCTCAGCACAGTTACTGAACCTGGCTGTGAGAGCAGAAGAGGGGAACTCTGCTGAAACATTGCCTGCCTGTTTTGAGGCTTCCCACTGCTGAATTGCTGCAGCTCTTGAGGGGAAGATGCATGGATTTGTTTCCTATCAAAAAAAAAATCTGAGGCCATCTGTCTGAAGGCAGGAATTTGCATAAGTATTTATACCTGCTGTGTTACCTTTTTGTTCTTTAATCCTGTATTACATTTTCAGGTGATTTGGTCCAAACAGTTTTTGGTCTCTCTGGTTTTCGTCCTCTTTCTGATAAGTGGAGGATATTTATCATATTTTCCTAAATGAGGGTAAGCAGCTGAGTTGAGTCTGATGATTATTTTAATAATATTTAGTGAGATAAAAAAGACCAGAGATGCAATAGGAATAAAAAAGGCAGAATGTTTCTTACAGACTATGCTTTATTTACTTCTGGGTATGTACTTTCCTATCAGGGTTTGCCTTTTCATTGGGTGCATATGAAAGGCTTCTGTCAGGCTCATTAGGAAGAAGCTGTTTCTGCAGAGCAGAAATCTTTTTGAGCCCAAGTAATCTACTTGTCTTTGTGTGGATACTGTCCATGTAAACTTCTGCACTTGGCAAAACTTCCAGTGTCTGCTGTGGGTTATAAGAGAACGCTTTTTTTTCTGAGGCCCTTCCTGCAGGGGAAAAAATTAAAGTAATGCCTCTGAGAATTTGGATCTGAAGCATTCCTTCGTCGTATGCTCATGCCCTTTGGTATGACTTGTTTTTACTCTTCTGCCGTTTGCCATTTAGGCTCATTAAATCTGCATTTGTTTTCTTTCGTTGAGTAGTGATCCATTAGTCATGGTTGCTACTTAAAAAATAAATACTGAAATATTCTCTGCATATAATAATTGATGCCCAGGCCTCCATTTTGTGTTGATATCCACTGAGTAGTTTTTGTTTCTTGGTCTTATTTCTCCAGAACTGCAGTTGGCAGGGCTTGAATGTGCAGTCTACTTGCTAGCAGCCAAATACAGTCTTTTGAAAGTTCTGTTCTCCCTTAAATGAGGACACTGAGGGCAGACCATGTTCTCAGAAAGTATTTTGTGCTGGTCTCCCTGTCTCCCCTCCCCCCTTCTTTTTCCATAAAATAGTTCTGTGTGTCAAGAGAGACTTCTAAGTACTAGAGGAGCAGAGAGGGACTGTCCCCTGTGGATAAACTTAAAATATTAGAGTCAAATTTCATTTGGTGAAGTCTGCTGGTACATGGTTCATCTTGTGTTTAAGCACTGTAAGCAAACAGTTGAACTGCACTTCATCATAATCAGTGCTGCTCTTCTGCAGGTGACGAAAGGCTTTGTTTAGGTGGATTTGGCCTGAGTGCTGGTGATTACTGTAAATATCACTTAATGTGTCAATGCTCTTTTTTGCAACAATGAAATATGATAACATTGAGCTTGACTTACAGATTCCTCAGTAGGCTTGAAAGCATGTTTTTTCTTTATAATATTTATTTCCAATACTTTTAAAAATAGTTTAGGTTCCTTATACAGATTGAATGTTGCAAGCTACTGCAATGACTGTAAATGTCCTTGAAAAATTAGTGAGGCATAAACAGAACAATGTGAAATCAAAAGAACTGTGCTTAGATAGGACTTCTGATGAGCTGATGAATCTCTATGGTGAAGAGATGAAAGAGAGAGGGAATGAAGATGTCCTTCACTGGAGGTGTCTTCCTCTCTTCCCCCATCATGTTTTGTGGTAGGATAAGCAGTAATATTTTATAGTAGTTTAAAGATTTTGTATAAAACCTTGTATTAAAGCTATTCTGATTAATCTTTCATGTTGAAGCCATAGCAATTTGATTTGGAGCAGAATGGGAGAAGGGGGGATGTTTTCAGATCATAAATGGTACTGGGATAGTTGTCTTGGAGATGAATTTCAACATACCTGAAAATACAGTGGAGATTTTCCAGAACTTCTAACTTGTAAAAAGTACAACAAGTCCCAGCTGATAAAATATATTAAAATATGTTTAATGTTTAAAAGATGCATAGATTCCTCTGTATGGAAAACAACACAGATATTTGCATCTGAATGACTTATTTTTCAGTAGGGCTGGCTACACAGGAGTGCTGAATGTGGCCAGTTGTCCCCTCTAAAGAGGCAAACAAAAGCTGTTTCTGGTTCATGTGAATTAGCAGTTACAACAGGTGGTGCTTGAAATTTGGTTTGTGCTGTGTGTGACTGAAAGGCATATGGTTTTGACATGTTAGAAGAGACTAAATGAGGTTTTCAGCTTTCATTCCTGCTTTTTTTTTTTTTTTAATCAGCTTTCTTTAAACATGAACAAAAATATAACAGAGCACAGTAGAATTGGATGGTCTTTTTGTTAAAGTGGAACTCGATCATATCTGAAGTTATGACTTCCCTGTCTTCCAAGATGGAAGTGGATTGCTAGAAACTGTTTGATGGCCTCTCATCAGTCTGATGCCTGGACAGTTAGTAGGGATTGCATTGTGGCTTAGTAGTAGTTGGGGTGGATGACATCGGTGTTGGTTTTGGAGTTTTTGAATTTTTAAAATTCTCTATAAAGACCAAACCCTAATTGCTAATTTAGTCTATCTTTATTGAGGCATTTTCTATGGTTTTTATTATCTGTGTATAACTTACATGATGAAAGTTTAACATGGGATCAGTTGATTAATTTACTGGTGTAGAGATGTTACAGAGGGAAGAGAAAATATGTCATCTTAGAACTCTGCCATGATGCCACAAAATCAAACATACTTAGTTTTCCAACTACCTCTTTGGCTGTTTTGGTTCTGTCAGCTAAAGGGTGGCTAAGAGTGAAGTCATGCTTGACTCAGAGACATAACTCCCTTGTACATGTGTGTGTATTCTGGTATTTCAGCCATTCTTTGGTAGGACTTGCTTGGTTGTGATTTGGAGTATCAGTATGCTGAACTTGAGTGTGAGGGACTGCTGAGAATGTGATACTCCTCAAGTGCATTCATTTTGCTTATGCTCGTATGCTAACATCAGGATTATTTTGTTATTACAGATATGCAAGCCTCTATTTCTGCTGTGCTATTGAAGATCAGGACAATGAACTAATAACTCTGGAAATAATTCATCGCTATGTAGAACTTCTTGACAAGTATTTTGGCAGTGTGAGTGTAATTTCTTTATATTTTGTCATTTCGCTTTATGCCCACAGCATTTTTACAAGAACATAACCAACTAATAATTGAAAAGGTGTATTGAATACATTTTGTGTGGCTTGCTTGGCCAAACTAAACTGATGGTTGCTTCTATTAAAATACAACATTAATGTATTGATTTGTAGAAGAAATTTTATTAATCTGTTGTTAATTGCCTGTATTTTTGTTTCATAGTAGTCTCACTTGGGGTCAGATAAAATCTTACTCTTAGCAGGAAGCTTTTCTTCTCCCTGGCACTGCTCTAGTGTGAGCACCTCTTACACCTGCTCCCAAAGGAGGCAGTTGGTTGTGAAGTGACAGGAATGGTAAGGAAATACAGGAGAGACATCTGCTTACCCAGACAGCAAACACAAACAGCTACAGTCATGTACATGAACACTCCTAGAAAAACTGGTGCTCATTCTGCCTTCCTTTGTAGTCCTTCTGACTATGAAATGCACAGACTGAATAAGAAATTTGAGATTATTTATTTTCATATCTTTCTGTAAGATTGCATGAGCTGCCTTTGCATATTGCAGGCAACAAGAGAACTTTTATAGGGAATGTTCTCTTGTGTCTTGAGGACCTGTGTCTTACAGACTGCTGTGAATTGAAGCCTTTTTAACAGTGAAAGCTTTTTTCAGAGGTTGCTGTAGCTGTTTTTAACTGAAGAAAAAATCTGATGGGTTTTTTTTTCCTCCAAGTTGTGATTTTCATTATTTTCCCAGTCCTTACAAGGTTACAGCCTTAGGCTGACATCTTGATTGGGTAAAGTTTGGTGAAGCTGTGAACAAGTTAAGTTTTGTGAGAGGATATACCTCAAGTGAGAGTATCCTCCCACTTTGCAATAATGCTTGATGTTCTTTTTAGGTCTGTGAACTTGATATCATCTTCAATTTTGAAAAAGCCTATTTCATTTTGGATGAGTTCCTTTTAGGAGGGGAAGTTCAGGAGACATCCAAGAAAAATGTCCTTAAAGCCATTGAACAAGCAGATCTTCTACAGGAGGTAAGCAAATCAAACTTCACTGGCCCAAGTGTCAGCATGGTAGGCTGTGACTTAGAAACCTCCTGTTCCTCTAGGCTTCTAGAAGGTATTTTTTAGCATGCTTAGCATGTAGTTTTAGCTAGTTGTCCTAAGTGTGCAGTAGGATGATGTTAGCTGCTCTTTTTGTTTGACTTGGCATGTTGATGTTGTAACCTACTGTGACTTCATGTTCTGCTAGTAAATGCCAGTGGCTGTTCTATGTTTATACCTAGGTAATTGTAGATCATGCTAATTTAACGTAGTGTTGTTCATGTGTCTTCATTCCTTCTTTTTATTTATTAACCATTAATTTTTTTTCTCATTCCTGATGCATGTTCACTTCTTTACTTTTTCATTGCTGAAATCCAGAAGCTAGACTCTCTTTGAGACTTGTTCAGGTATATTTCTAATTAGTTCTTAGACCTGCTTTTCTGCTATAGGCTGCTTACTGTGGAACATTCCCAAGCTGACAAAGCAGTAATAGTAGTGCCATAGAAACATTCAAAATAAAGAACATTGTTTTTTCACTTTGAATGCTTTTGTTTTTTGTTATTATCATTGAAGAATGACAGATTGCATGTCTACCATTAAAAAAAACCCAAACATTTGATGTGAAGGGGTTCAATGGAAACTTAGAAAACTTAATAGAAAAACTTAAAATTTTTTCTCCATCCTATGCTGGTTATTTTGGGTTTATCTGATTTTGTTTGGTTATTGTTTTTTTTTTTTTCCTTACTGAAATGTACACCGTTAAGGCCCTTGAATGTCTGAATGGGAATCAAAAATTCTGGTGTGCTGAGGGAATCATCAGTCTTGTGTGCATGTCTTGTGAACATGCATAGATCCAAGTTGCTCTATTTCCCTCTATGTAAACCTTCAATTTGTTATTTTCTTCTATGAATTAGTTGCTTAATTCTCTTGCAAGCCTTCTGTGTTCCACTTGGTAGTCTTTTGTTGGACATAATATTAGTAGGATGAGGAAACTCAAGGTGTTCTTTACCCTGGTAGCTGTTTTTTTAATCCCTTCAGAATACATGCAGGTGCACTGCACATTAAAGTTCTTGTCGTGAACACGGTCAGCCATTACATACAGATCTGCTACCCTGTTTTTCTAGAAAGGAAATATATGCACCTATTTACTTCTTGTGTTCTGATTCCATTTAAGTCCTTCTTTACTCTTTGTAGGAATTACCTTAACCAGAAGTCCTGTTGCAGTTTAGAAAGGGGAGAAAAATAATCTGTTTGTTCTCTTAAAATCTTCTGCTCTTTATATGAAAGCAGATATAACAGATTGGTTACATGTTCCAGTTTGTCTCCTGCAAATGCAGTTAATTGTATGTAAAGTAGAATAACTATATTCTTTCTCATTGTTACTGTTTTTGAACTTTATTTTCACTACTTTTGTGGGGCTGTTCTAAAGAAAAAATATATTTCTAGGAATTTATTACTGTTTTTCTTTTCAAGCAACATTCTCTTTTTACAGAGAATGTAATTTCATCTTAATGTAACTTCAAATTCAAAATCTTAGGCAAAGGGAAATATCACTTTTTCAATGTGAGACTTTTCCCTAATCCTCCTGGTAGCTTTACTCTGATTACCCTTCCTTTCCCCATCTTTAGGAGATTTTCAGTTGCCAGTGTTCATGAAATAATTTTGTTTAACTTGAAATGTAGCAGTTTATCACAGCACCACTGGAGTCCTACATTGGGCTTCTGTGTTTTTCATTCTTAGTTGGATTGACTGTTGATCAAGTGTAAAACCACTCCCTATACCTGCATTTTAGTTTATAAACTCTGTAAAAGTCTGGGTTCATTTTTAAATTGAGCTTCCAGTACATTTTAACTCGTTTCTATGGAAGCTTGGTTTTGTATCAACTGCTGCTATGTAAATGCTGAGTTTGATGAAGAGAGCTGTTAAAACAACAGTTTCTCACATGTGGAGAATTTTTAGTACTTTAAGTTAATATCTGCTTCCCAGAATACTTCAAAACTACTAGACTGAAACATGGTGTGGTTCCAAATGCAAAACATATTTCTAGCAGGGTTATCATGTGTTTGTTTTTGACCATTCAGATTTTAATTATGTGCAACAAAGTAATTTTTATTTGGCCCTTTTATTTGAAGACTCATACTGTGAAATATATATATGTACAGGCATACATATATGTAGTTGAATACACAATATTATTGATTGAATACACAACATTAGTAATTAATAATGCTACAGGCATTGGTGTCTGAAGTACCTTAAAGATGAAGAGCTGTACAGAATACTTATACAAAAGAAAATCATTACAGATCCATTAAGTGGCTGTGTAATGTTAAGAGGAAATACACTAAGGCACAAATTGCTGAGTAGTGAATTAGTTCTTAATAGCCTTCCCTACTTGCATTTTCTGTTGAAGTTTTCCAGGCTGTACTTCTGTGTCTGAGCACCTACTTCAGTTTTGTCTTAAAGTTCTTGGTGCTGTGAGGTCCCTTCACTAACTGCTACAGTTTGTGTGATGGAAACACACCAACTTGTTAAATCCCTCTCAACCTTCACATTCTTGTTAGTTCTTCAGGAATGTACTTAGTTCAAGTATTCATTCCCTACCTCCTCCCCCATATTTATTACCACCTGATAACTTATCAGCAGTCAGTCATCAATACTGGCAGTGGTACCCAGATGAAGGGTAGTAAAAGGTAATTAACTCCAGTGCTTCCATTCTTCCTTGTCTCTCTATTGTAGAAATGCTTCTGTTGAAAAGAATGCTGATGATTTTATATCTTGTTTGCTAGAGAGACTTTAATACCTAACTAGTGATTACAAAGGCATGCACTGCTGAAAAGGTGGTTTTTGCTTTTGTGAACAACTCAGTTATACTGAAAGAATTTGGTAGAGGCTGTGTGTTCTTGCATGAATTAAATACATACATGTGATGTGTGGAACAGCTAAAAGATAAGCCTATGCATCATTTTGTGACACTTGAGTTTTTTAAGGCGTGAAACTACCAATGATAGATATTCTATACAAAAGAAAGGATTTGATTTATTTCTCTCAAAAGCCTAATTGCTCTGGTTTTTTGGATTTGGGTTGGTTTTTTTTTCCTTTTTTTTTGATGGCTTGAGTAATTCAGTATAGTGCTTGGAAGTTTGTGGTCATTTCCTGTGCTAAAATGCTGAAATCAAGGAATTAATAATTATAATATTTCAACCGAGCCATCATGTATATATTTTAAAGCAAATCTGTACAGACTTTATTTGAAGTAGGAACAATTTCCTAAACATTGTCTATGAATGAAAATGGTTTTTGTTGATTATCCTAGGTAAATTTTAGAAAAGTATTTTGGAAATTATCCCCATTTTGTTCACCACTGTTCTTTTGTAGGATTTTTGCGTGGTTATTTTTTTTTTTTAGTACTTGATTGCAGAATATCTAAATACTTAAAAATACATTTTTTTTAAAGAGGTTTCTAAATAAAAAGCCCAGTGAGTTTGTCCACAAATTACACTTGCTTGTTTGTGTCACTACTTCAGTAATGATCAAAAACTTAAAAGCTATGTGAACATTTTTTTTCTTAGGCTCTTTCAGTTTGGCTTCAGGCAGTATTTACTAGTCCTTCCACATAAAGAATGAAAGATAAGCTATCAATTAACTTTATTTGCTTTGCTATTTCAAACCCTTGCCTAATCCTATATCCAGAAGGGTGCTGACAGTATTCATGGTAGCTGACTTGCCGTAGATGCTCAGGGTTGGTTTTAGAATGAGTATCTTGGGCAATGAAACTCTGGTGAATTTCCTGCATATGCTATGAGAATTTTCTTATTGGAGATGAAATGTGCTTATTGGAAATAAGCACATTTGGAAAATAAATGTGGATAAATTGGAAACCGTAGGTTTGAAAGTATGCATAATAGTAGGTATTAGGTTGTTCTTGAGATGTGCCAAAACTCCTTCATTTTGTCATTAGCACTGGCAAAATTCTTGTATTTAAGCCTCCAGTGGGTGGGAGTGAGTATAAGGGATTTTGACTGGTTTAGGAAACAGCCTTTGTAAGAGCCTTTTTATTAATCCATTTGCCTGAGAAGCTGACCACAATGAATGCAATTAATTCAGTCTTCACTTAATGTTTTTTCTTAAATATAGACTGTTGAAATAGACTGCCTTCCTAAGTTGGCAGTGGCATTATTTGTCTTGGCTGTACCTGTGTTCCCCTGAATGTGAAACAGGAATCAATAATGGAATCTTTATTATCATGGAGATCCAACTGCCTTGACTGCCATTTGCTCTTCACGTACAACTTCCATCTCAGTTTCAGGTGGTCAGCTTTGTTCATCACTTGCTCTCTGCAGTTTTAAGACATGTAGCTGCTTGATTTTAGGCACAGATAATGATCTACAATTACATTTTAAAACATACATATATATGGGGACCTATGAGAGTTACTGTGAATGAGAAATGATAGATTGTTAGTTCATTATTTAGGGATTAGGAAATAGCTATGATTTTTAGGGATTTGGAATCCCTCCCAACTCGCAGAAGAACAAGTTGTAGTGTTTTGGTAGCTGATGCTTTTGTAAAATGTGTTTCAGAACTCGGTCTCTGGAGATGTATTTATAGAAGAAAGGGGTTACAGTGCTGTTAGAGTGTTTGGCACTCTCCATGACACTCAAAAAAGTCATGGCAATCAGATGCAGTCCCAGGTGACTGGGAAGAGGGAAGCTTTGTACCCATTTTTAAAAAGGGTAGAAAGGAGGACTCTGGAAACTACCAACCTGTCATCCTGACTGCTGTCCATACGTTGAAGGATCGTCCATCGTGGCAAGATCCTCCTAGGAGCTGTGCTAGGGCGTGTGGAAGACAGGGAGGTGATTTAGGACAGCCAGCACGGCTCGACCAAGGGCAAGTCCTGCCAACCCCTTCTATGGGTTTGCCTTCTATAATGGACCAACTTCATCAGTGGGCCAGGGGAGGGCTACAGATGTCATTTTTCTGGACAC